CTCTGCCCTAGTGAGGCCCCATCTGGAGTACTGTGTCCAGTTCTGGGCTCCCCAGTTCAAGAAAGATGAGGAGCTACTGGAGAGAGTCCAGCGGAGGGCTACGAGGATGATGAGGGGACTGGAGCATCTGTCCTATGAGGAGAGGCTGAGGGAGCTGTGCTTGTTCAGCCTGGAGAAGAGAAGGCTGAGAGGGGACCTTATAAATGCTTACAAATATCTGAAGGGTGGATGTCAGGAGGACGGGGCCAGACTCTTTTCAGTGGTGCCCAGTGACAGGACAAGGGGCAACGGGCACAAACTGAAGCATAGGAACAGCATAGACTACCCTTTCTATTTTTTTATTTCAGTTGTGCTTTACTATACAAACAACGAAATCTGGAAGGCAAACCAAAAGATAGGAATCAGTAAACAAATCAATTTTTGGCAAAAACAAGGAGGATATGATGATCTCAGTGTAAGGTTTCCAAACTGAGGGGTTTGGGTAGAAATAGAGATGAGCAAAGAAAGGAAGGAATTTTGCATTGACAAAAAATGGATTTAATGGATTTTTTTTCATGGATTTATTGGATATCTTGTAGCTTGAACACTGTTATGGATCCAATCTTCCGTTCCCTGCCAGTGAGTCATGTAATTCAAAGAAACCACGCTGGATTGGTGAGTCGCACATGACACTGTAAATATTTGATTTGATGCCTGGTTGGTTGCTTCTAATTTCTTGATACTCACTTCTATTCTAGAAATAAGCTTGCTACCACTTTTCTCATCCCAGGAATACAAACTTGACAGTGAACGACTATATTATGATCAGATGCAGGAAGTAGAATTAGGCTAGAACGTAAGTGAAATAGCATATTGGAAGAGAGAACCCAATCAATTTCTAGAGAGCTTCATTTGTTCTTACAGGAAATTTTTTTGCTTAAACAGTACATGTCAGTAAAATTTTAGATTTTTCAAAGATTTTCTTCTTTGTTTAAGATTTGTTATGGAGTTTAATTGAACTAGAGCTGTGAAAAGATACTGCTTTGGGGCAGTATTCCTTAACTTAGCAAGTTAGGCTTTAGTACAAGGCCTGATGTGTGTTACATAGGGCCAACATAGGTTTCTGTAGCTTCTGTCGGGTACAGCAAATCAGCTTTTCTTCAGCAAGCATTTGTGACTTAGGTCAGGGAACTAGTTGGAATGAATGTCCTTGATAGTTTTTGCGTTGCCTCTGGTAATGCCTGGAATACTCATGTTCCCTGACCACAGCTTTAACTGTGTGATGGCTACTAGGAGCTCTCTCTGGTGTTAAAGAACAAGTGTCTACATTTTGAAGGCTTTTTATTATTTCGGTGCAGAGGTTTTAAGGTTGGGTTGTTTTGGTATTTTAGAATATATGTTATTCCAGCCAGGAGAGCCATGTCTCAAAAGGCTGAAAAAGGATTTCAGAGGGAATCTTGAATGTCGTTAGTTCCATTTCTTCAGGACAGGGGAGTGTTTGTCTGCAAATAGTTGATTATCATTCCCCTTATCTGCTGTTACCCAGAGGAAAGGATAAACAAAAAAGGGCATTGCACTTTATGGAAGTTAGAAACGTGTAGTCTGATCACCGACGCATGTGTTCAGCAAAAAATAAATAATCGTATCCAGTAAGCATCGGGGGCCTGTTATGAAAGGAAAAGCACAATTGTATTTGAATATATTTGAATATTTCTAGCAATGGTTTGTCAGCCTAACTGTGAAAGAAATAACATACTGTACAAAATGACAGAAAACACATGGCTTTAATTTTAGATGAGAATTCTGTTTTCATATTCTCTAGAATTAAATTTACTAGGCCTTAGATAAGTCCAACCAACATACAAGACAAAAAAAAGTTGCCAATTAAAATTATAAAAAAATAAGTATACCATTGCAGTACTTTTATTTTTTCCTGCTATATTTCATTGTGTGTCTGTAGTCCCTGATCAAGCAAAATTTTTAGAGGTATGAATAGCATAATACAGGAATTTGCAAGTTACTGCCTTAATGTAGAGGCTTTGAAGTTGGAATTTTTAATTGTTATTGATATGTTTGTTTTGCACAGAACCAATGCAACATTCCTTGGATAATGGAGATGGTCCCCCAGTTCCTCTAGTGAAGTACTGCACTCCTGAATTTTATCATGATCATCAGCACTTGGTAAGAAGTTGACAGAGAAAATCCCCTTAGAAGGTGAAAGATGTGAGGTGTTTGGATGTATCAACTGAACATGTGCTACTTAAAACTAGAGTTGAAACACATGCTTCATTGGGATGCAGATCAGCGTTGTGCTATTTTTGTAACTGAAAGATGTTACCAGTCATGTTCGATTCAATGTAGTTCTCATTTACAAGTGTCAAGAAATTCTGAGAAGTTCTGTAACTCTATACACACCTCTGCCTCTGGTTTTTGTTCATGAAGAGCTTCATGAAATGCCTTCTGTTCTGTTTCTCTGTGTAAGCTGACAGTATTATTGCCTCATATTTATTTGTCTGCATCCTCATCTCCTTCTGTGTGATGACACACCCTGCAAATGACTGTAAGATGCTAGAACTGTGTTTCAACTAGTAGTCATGGTGTTGGCTGTTTTAGTTGTCAACTGTACCTGGAAGGGTCTCTCCTTAGGCTCAAGAACCAGATCAGGATTCTGTACTGAGTAGTACCGGGTAGAACAATTTGAATTTCTAATCTTATGCAGCGTTTGAAGTTGTGTAGGTTGTCTAATTAATATGAAATAAGGAAAGCTAGTATAATGTCTTAATAGTAGTGTTATAGGATCATCAGTTGTGGAGAAATGCAAATACAGTTGTCTTTGGGACCCTTTGCAATACAGACATTTGTTTTATTTATTAAAAACAAAACAACCAGAAACTTCAAAAAACTGACCTCTGCTGGTTTTGTGCCTTCTCAGTCAAGAAATCCTGCATATCATGTCAAGCTGTTGTGTAGGAATTGCTGTTCTACTCTTAACACTTTGTTATTTCCTTGTGTAGTCTAAATTTACCCATTTTAAATCTTCTCAGGCATACAAACTGGTATCAGAGCCCCGAGGCTTAGCACTTGTTCTCAGCAACGTCCATTTCAGCAGTGAGAAGGACTTGGAGTATCGTGCAGGGGGAGATGTGGACTGTGCTTCCCTGGAGATGCTTTTCAAGCATCTTGGGTATCGAGTGACAGTCTTTCATGATCAAACTGCACAGGTAAGGGGAATCCCAGTACTTCACAACCAGCGTGGATGAGAGTTTGTAACTGTTAGATAAACATGTTAAGAGGTCCCATTTGGTATAACTGAGCTTTAAAAGGAAGATATGCATTGTCATTTATGAATAGAAAGTAAAGCTAAATGGGATGATGTCTGCTAGCATACTGACAAATGTGAAGAAGCTTGGAAGGCAGAGGACTTACAGTGGAAAGTAGGATTGCAAAGGACCACAAGAGCTACTTCTCTAGTCTGACCCCTTGTAGTGCAAGGGGTAAGAATACCTAGACCACACCTGGCATGTATGTTAAACCCACAAATGAATAGTCTCCAGTTTAGGTTAACTTTTAGGATATTGTAACACTGGAAAAGTCTAACTTTGCAAATATTTGACCTGATCTTTGCAAGAGTAAGTGATGTCTTCATGTTCTTTCACTGGTGGAGTCAATTGCCATCCTATTTATCAGTCTTCCAGTATCTATGCAGTTAAGTTGCACTCTTTCGGTCTTTGCTTTGCTAGAGAAGTGGCTGTGCTTCACTTAAGAAAATTTATAATGTCCCATGACTGACTGAATCAAGCCACTCTCTTTCCTAAGGAATGCAATTGCTGCCCTCTCCAGCCTTATTTGTTCTTACTCCTTTTAAATCCCCATGAAACTAAGTGGTACAGAATCTGTTAAAGAGAGTTTTATTGTAGAAGGCAGCTTTTGCAACATTATAAGAAGGCTTTTCCACTTGCCATGATGTCAGAGTTCCTTAAATTTTCCACTTTAAATTGTTGTTGTTTTTGATCACTAGTGTTTGAATGCCTGGAGTACCAGAGTGTGTCTCTGTTAAGTTGCTCCAATATCCCAGCCAGACTCAAGTGTCAATGTAAAACCTCTAGAAGATACCAGTTGATTTCTCCTATGTTGAATCCATATGTACCAACTCAGGTACTTGCTGCATCCCCCTGCCAGCCAGTATAGAAATGTAGATGTCCTAAGTGATTCCTACTTCACAATCTTACACTTAGGACTGAATATTCCATAAAAGAACAAGAACATTTTGCTGATTTTTGGTTTGTTTTTTTTTTATGAAACACGTCTTTTGTCCTGTGAATTTGATGTATGTAAGGTTTATTTCATAACAGGGGGACCGTTTTTGTTTCTCTTGTACATTTGTGTTTTCACTGTACGTTGACCCACTTTCCCTGTGCAAGTCTGGAAAGCATTTTTTGTCTCTTTTCCAGGAGATGCAGAATGCATTGGAGAGATTCTCTAAGCTGCCAGATCATCGGGATGTGGATTCCTGTATTGTAGCTTTACTTTCCCATGGTGTGGAGGGTGGGGTTTATGGCAGTGATGGCAAACTACTACAGGTATATTCCCATGTCTTGATGTGTTGTTGTAGGTTGTATCTTGGAAAGTAACAATGGAAAGAGGAGGGGAAAGGAAAAAAAAAAAAAAGAGAGACAAGATGAAGCAATGGGAGACTGAGGATTTACGTTTTTTAAAAAGAGAAAGAAAAGGGCAGGGGTCTGTTTATGAGAGGTCTGTAAGATAAAAATGGCATAGAAATAGGACAAGTAGGAGAAGTTATTTCATTCTCTCTTTCTTACAAGTACTAGGTAGAGTGCATGAACACAGACTGGCAGGAGCCGAGGGGTGGGGAGTGCAGAAGCAATTTGTTGGTCACTCGTTGAGTTTGAAGATAAAGGAGAAAGTATCAAGACTGGTGAGGTATAACCAAAATATAGGGAAGGAAGGTGAGACTGGGTTTGGCTCACAGAAGGCTGCAGTGACAAATATTTATTTTTTTCTTCTCTCAGTTGCAGGAGGCTTTCCGGCTCTTTGATAACGCAAACTGTCCAAATCTCCAGAATAAGCCCAAAATGTTCTTTATTCAGGCCTGCCGGGGAGGTAAGTGCCCAAATACTAAAAGCCATGTATTTGGCATGCCATTAAGGCTCATTTTACACACATACACACCCTCACATTCAAATTGCTGTCAACTCTCCTCTTTGCTTCTCTCAGGTGTAAGTGGGACCCATATTCACCTCCCTCTGCCCTGCTGCTGCCACTGCATCTGTTGCTCTGTAAGTGTCTTTTGCTCTGCATGAGGTGTGTGCATTGACTTGCAGACCCCAGAGCACCGTAGTGATACAAAGCTCTATCATACCCCACTCACACTGAGACTTTCTCTTGCTATGCCTGCAGTAGGGGGAGCGGGGCATATGGTGCATCAAATTGCAGCACAGCATGGAGTGGTACACTAGCGCTGGAGTCTTGTCTGAAGTCCTGTCTGTCTCTTGATCGTGGATGTGTTGTGTCTCTTGTGTTATCACCTCTCAAGCTATCAAAGTCCAAGTCTTTTTTTTCTTTTCTTTTTTCCTTTAGTCTGTCCTGCTTTCAACCTCCAAATGACCTTTCCTTACACTCTTTTCTGTATACTACTGTAGCTACCGAATTCTGTTCTTGATTCTCATAGATTTGATTTTTTCCCAGTCTTTCTGTTCCTATTTTTGTTTTTAATTAGGCCATTTGTTTTCCCTCCTTTTGTAACTAAACACATGTCTGTAACTAACTACCTTTCAGATCTGCTAATGAGCAAATTTTCCCTAAAGTGTTTGGACTTTTTGAGATCGCTGTGAAACTGCAGATATTCCAAAGAGAAGTTCTGTTATAGAAAGCTTTGTTTTTTCCCTTGTGATAGAGAAGTTTTTCTAGCGTGTATGCTTTTCCCCTTCTTTTCCCTTGTTCCTTGAAATTGTCTCCCTTCTTTCATTTTTAGCAGAGATTTATAGTTTATCCTCTAGCCAAGAGAATGTTCCATTCACCTGTTATCTACTCGTGTTTAATCCCAATGCAGAGAAAAAACAAAAGTCTACATGAAGTATTTTGGGTATCAAAAATATATGATCCTGCTAAGTGTTTGGAAATACCGTAACTTGCATGTTTACAATATGAATTGAATGTGATGATTGCTTTCTTTATGTTGTTAAACCTTTAGATGCTCTTGAACAAACATGAATGTGGCGACTCATAACAGTGTGGAAACAAGTGTAATAAGCCAGAATTGACAGCTGACCTAATTAGGTAGTTAGGTTTATTTGACTGTAATGTTACCACAATGGCTCTGTTCACATCAACAAACTGGGCTGGGACTTCCAATTCCCAAGAAGATTTTGGTTAAGAAAGATATGCAAAAGGCTGCAGAACTGGGATACTGCAGTAGACAAAGAATTGAGAATTGAGTAACTGAAAGGGGAAAATCTTTCTTTAATTAAAAAAAAAAAAAGCACAAAACTGCCTTTTTTAACCTCTTTTTTAAACCTTGATTAATAGTTAGAGAGGAAAGCTAGTTACAAAGTAATTGAGCTGTCAACAAAAACATTTACCTTTTCATGTTAGCATTCAAAGGCTAAACTAGCCAATACAATTTTTGTTTTTTGAAAGCAGCATTTAAAAGACTCTATAAATAGTGTGGACAATTTCAGATTAGTAGTCAATCTCTATGCCATGCAAATTAGCTAGAGCCAGTTGAAACAAAGTGAGAAATGCATAGGTTATTCTTTTTCCCTAAGTTTATGTGATAAGCCTTATCTATCTTCTATTAAAGACACATTAAAAAATGTAGATAAAGAAGAGTTGGAACAGTCTACATAATTTCCAAAGGGCTTTTGGCATGAATCTACTAAAAAATTGAAGTAGTCCGTCCACAGTCATGGATCAGAAACCAGTGGCAACAGAAAGCAGTGGGAAAAGAATAAATAGTCAGATTTCACTATGATATAAAATGAGACTTCGGAGCTGCCTAACATCTGTGTTTAATATAGTAGCTGATCCAGAAAAATGAAGAACTGTGATGAATAATGGCAAATAGGTAATTGGAAGTTATTTAAATCAATTGGGAAAATGGTGATCTGGGAGCTTCAGTAAAATTTAAACAGGCTGGATCAAACTGGGTGACAGTTATTGGTGATATAAATTAGAGGTTGAGTATATAGAGGAATATCTTGATAAGGTTAGTGCTTTACACTTTTTGGTTACATTGGTAAGTTGACTAGAATGGTGTTTGAAGACAAATACATGAAGAAGACATCTGATTCTGAAGCTTTAATGAAAAAAGTTTTGAGTTTATACATTATGGGATGATGACAGTGGGAATAGTATAGCTTGACTGTAAAATTAGCTGAGTTTTATCTGAAATAATGTACACTGTGAATGGTACTCTAAATTTTTAAGAAGATATAGAACTAAAAGCTTTTAGAGGAGTGTGATAAAAGCATGAAAAAAGTGTGGTTAAAAATGGAAAAATTTGCATTGCTACCTTAGAGAGACGATGAAGGAACCTGATGGAAGTACTTATGAAATTTTGAGCTGTGGAGCCTTAATTATAGGCTGTATCTAGCCTGTCGGACAATCACACCCTTTCTACTGCTGCTTTCATTTTGGAGGAAAAGGACCACATTTCTGACTTACAAACTGACCATTTCCTGTGCATAATTATGAGATGTCACCAGTGCCACTGCCTATAGAAGGGTTAGAAATCCAATTAAGTATCTTAGACATGACCTGGCAACAAAAATGTAGAGTCATCATAGCAGGAAGGCCTCTGAAGTGGCCATTTATGCCTCCTAAGACTAGAGTCTGACCCATGCTGTTAGGAAGTAAGTAGAATAGTAGATTTTCATACAACAAAAGGGCAAAATTATATAGAAAACCTGTAAAATGTAGTTTTCTTTTTCTTACAGCGTAGCTGGACTATTAAAGTTATTGCCACTAAGCAAGTAGTCTAGATTACAATGGAAACTCTGCATCATGTACACAACCAATTGAGAATATGTACATTTGTCATAATACATCCTAATGAATCCTGGAAAGGATATGAAATGTTCTCTAGGTTTTAAACTAATCTCCATGTACTGGAGTTCTTTCTGATGTTTGGGGTCAAATTATTTTGCATTTTACTACTCCACAATTTATGCTTTTGATTGAAACAAATGTTATTATAATCAGGACTTCGAACTAGATGAGATATTTGGTCCATGTTTTCTTGATTTCTTGAAGGTAGACCTTGGCAATGAAAATTATAGCCCTATTTGAGTTCTGCAATAAGTAGATAGATAGCATTACAAACTAGACTAGACATTTCTGGACATTCCTAAGGTAGGTAAAACTGGAAAATAGAAACTTTTAGGGCTAGGCATGAAATCCTTCCATGCATGGTGAGGAACTGTCAGAAACTTCCTTGCTTTGTTGGTTATCCCTTGATCTGCATAGGAAAGGAGAGGAAAAAAGATCAATCAGCATAAAGACCAACAGTCACATTAGGTTGAACAGATTCAGCACTTGTTGGTATCTGCATCAGTTTGTTCAGAACTTTCAGATGAGCTTTAAAAACAGCTGAAAAAGCTTAAAGTTCATGAAAAAGCTTTCTGCTTGATACCAGTCGTGACATTGCTGACCAGGGCCCAAAATTAAGGAAGTACAGAAAAACTATATCCAGTAATTCAGGATAATTTCTTCTTCCCTCCCCCCCACTGTTTATTGCTTCTTCAGATGAGACGGACCGGGGAGTGGATCAAAGAGATGGGAAAGAATGGTCAGATTCCCCAGGCTGTGAGGAAAGTGATGCAAATAAGGAGGAAAATCTCAAGCTGCGTCTGCCTACGTGCTCTGATATGATCTGTGGATATGCTTGTCTGAAAGGTACTGGGGAGAGGCCCTGATTGTTAGGGCAAAAGGAGGTTTTTTGTATCTGTGTTCCCCAGAAACTTCATCATACACACTTTCTTCTCAGGTACTGCGGCCATGCGAAACACCAGGCGCGGATCCTGGTATATCGAGGCTCTCACCTCTGTGTTTGCAGAGGACTCCCGGGACACTCATGTGGCTGACATGTTGGTGAAGGTGAGCTGGAGTGTCTTTCCTCTCCCACACTTACCTGGTTTCTGAAGAGCCTTCCAGTGCTTCAAATTGCTAGGATTAACTTAGTGTTAAAGGAATTGTTCTTGCCTTGTTTGTAGCAAAAATATTATTTCTTTCCCCATTTTTATATATGTATTTGTATACAGTTCCACAGCAGTTTAACCAAAGTAAAAATGCTGTTTCTTTGTCTCCTTCCATTTCACTTGTGCGGTCACATAGTGAATTTATGACAAGAATTACTCTGACTTGCCATGAATTACTCTTCTTCTGTAGAAAGAGCTTTTCTTTTCAGGTGGATTCATTCCATGAACCGGCTCACCACATAGCTGCACAAATGCTTGCGCTCACATAAGGGAAAGATTAAGAAAATTAGGGAAGAGGGAGTGAAGACAGCAGTGTGACCATGGCAACTTGAGCTGCTGTGGAACTGCACCTTACTTCTTCATCCTTTTCATAATGTAGAAAGGCAGTACATAGGGGACTACTTAACAAGTTAAACAGAATAATCTATGAGTACAGAAAGCAATGACGTTTTTCTTCTCTCAATCCTTCCAGTCATTTTATTTTTTTTAATCTCACATCTAGGTGAATAGGCAAATCAAGCAACGAGAAGGTTATGCCCCAGGCACAGAATTTCACCGCTGCAAGGAAATGTCAGAATATTGTAGCACACTCTGTCGGGACCTTTACCTGTTTCCTGGCTATCTGCCAGGAAAATAACTCTGCCAGCTCTGTTGGAAGAGAGATACTGCCAAAGCTGAACTTTTGAGTATGGGTGTCTACATTTTTGTTCTTGCGGGCTCTGACATCAGGTACACAAGCAAGGAGTACTTGTTTATGTCTGGCCAGTTCAATTCTTGATGTCTTTTTCTAAAATAATTGGCAACTCTTTGTAATCTGATTCCGTTCAGGGTTTAAAATTATACTATCCTGACTTATTCCATATGTGTAAAAGTTGATGGAAAGAGGATCAGCACTGGAACTGGGAAGAAGTGGGAACATCCTTCGGAAGGAGACATAAGGACACTTGTAAGCAAAGTGAGCGTGAAAAAGGAAACAGACTATTCATACAATTTTTTTAAAAGTTAAGCCTTTCTGAAAGAAAAATTATTCATAAAAGACTGCTTATCTTATGCTTTTATTTTAAATTTTTTAAATACTTTCTGCCTGGTTCTTCATGCAGGACAGTCAGCTCCTGTATGCATTAGAAGAGGGGTCTCTTGTAAAGGAGGATCCTTCCCCTCTCTAAAATGGAATGTTATTATTTTCAGTACTTGACACTTTCCTGTCCATCTTGATCTTACTTAAAAGTCTGTTTTGCACATTCCTTCTGTAGCCAAGTTATCAAGAGAACTGGAAGACATCCCAGGTTATCAACAAAACAAATAGATATTCAGTATTTCTCATACAGACAGATAAGCCTCCATAAACTGCCCCAGAAATAGTTCTGAATCTAGAAATTCTGGATTGGCTCCCCTTAGTCCCAAGAGTGAACAACTGCATAAATTACTGGTGATGAATTTGTTTGCCATAGTACCTGTGTGTCACAACAGGCATAGCATTTGGACAATCCACCAACTTCTCAGGCATCTCTAAATTGCACTGTACAACTGAATCCCTGAAACCCTGCAGCTGTGTACAAAAGGAACTTTTGTTTAATTAACAAAAAGATTCAAGGCAGCTCTTTATAGTCTAAGCATGTTGCTTGGATTGTTTATCACTACAGTTTGTTTCCCTTTTAAATGAAAGGGAAGAGTTTCACATAATTACACTGTCATGTGAGTTTTCGTTCTTCAGCTGTGATCATTTAAAGCTATTTGTTTAGCTAATACTGTTTGCAAAGTGTCATTTCAACTGGTCAGGAAGAAGAGTGGTGGCATAATCCATCACTTCTTTTGGAAATTTCCTATACAGTCTCTTCATGCTTTAATTTGTCTCTTGCTTGTGTCCATTTGCAGTTACTCCCATATGACGTGGGAGATGGGCATTGTTCTCTTTTTGTGGTAGAGCCTAAATCCTGATATACTGGGTTACATATGGACTGCAGTCTGTTCACTTGAGTCTCGATCTTCTCCATTCTGTAGCAGTAAGTTGGCATAGTTCCTGGCTTACTCTTTTTATGTGTGTGGCTTTTAAGAAATTTTTCAGGATAGAATTATGAATAGGAAGCACAAAGGGATATGGAGGGAGGCTGGAAAATTAGGCATGTGCGTTTTTATTGTTCTGCCTAAGAAAATGAAGGCTGTGTTTCCTCCAGCTGACAAAGATGGAGCATTAATACGCATCTTGCACTTATCTTACACACAATGTGATAAACAGAACAAGGATCATACTTGCCAGTTGGTGCCTTACTCTGAAGTTTAAGATTCCAGTTCAGGGGCTGTTGTACCTTGCTGGAGTATAAAGACTTTCTTCCTGAGTGCTCCCTCTTTGAAATGGTGCAATATTTTACAGATACTGATATTGATGAAGCAGTCCGCTCTCATGGATGAGATTTCTGTAGGATTGCATCAAATTGCATTATCACTGCCACTTTCATATATACTTTTTGTATACTTGTATTTTACTGCCTTGAGGTGTCAAAATAAAGAATTCTTGTTTGATTAATCTGTGCAGTATCTTCCATTTGGAGAGTTATACCTCTGCAGAAATGGAGCTTCCATATAAAGAGAATTTTGCGTAATTTCTCGAGATAGTACCTCCCAGAGGCACTTTTGAACTCTCAGGCAGAAGCCTGCTTACCTGATAGCTGCAACCAATATGGGATCTTGTGAATTTTGATAACACCTGGACTAGGGAAAAGTCGATACATTAATAAGGAGAGATGAGGCAGAACCACCAATTAGTAGGCAGATGTTGTGTTTCAGCACATAAAATATTTCGACTGGGAAAATTGTGGACTTGATGTACTCAGAGGAAGAGTTGGTTACGAAAAGAAGGGTTCCTAAAAGAAAAGAGGCAGTCTTGGAAGGAGGAAGCACCCAGAAAGGAAGGTGATGATGCCATCTGGAGGAAAGATCCTGAAAGTGGGGGAAGATCCAGGGGATCAGAGAGCTGCATGGAAACGAATCCCAGGAGATGCCCAGAGATCTGCGTAGAAACGAATCCCAGGGGATGCCCAGAGGCCTTGATCTGTAAAACCCAAAAGTGGTGCCTACCAGCAGCTGCACAGCACAGAACCAGCATAGCTTTCTGCTCCACCTTCGCAGACCAGCAATGATCTCACTGCTGGGAAGGGAAGCTGAGACCTGGATAATGCACCTGGGAGAAAGCCAGTGAGTGAGTGTGAAATAAGAAGGTAAAAGCTCTGTTCTCATTAGTTCTAAAATAAACCCCAGTATCCAGATCCACTGGAGGCTGCCATTTACTCTGTCTCATCCATGACACCTAGAACGGTGATTCCTGTCTTGTAAGTTCTCTTTTTGATGGAAGAAGTACATTGTTTTCTCAATACGAAATTCGGGTACAGGAAATCTAGTAGTAATACTCACAGTGGAATTAACAACAGCTACCTGCACAGAAAGTGTTTCTAGTAGTCCACAAGATGAAGTAAGCAAGATGTTTGTATTTTCAGAGAAGTAAGTTTTCAGCTACTAGCATAGTTTAAGGAATGACTTTAATAGCTGGGATAACAGGAAAATGTTACCTCGTTCACATTTTGGTTCAAAACCAGAAGAACAGTAAGGTCAAAAATTTATGGGACTGGGAGTGAAAACAGTGAATGGGATGTAAACAACATATTTTACAAAGCTTGAGTTGCATGAAAATCACTATTTTAGTAGAACAATTCAGTAAATGAATACAATTGTAGCAATTCTAAACTGTTTTTTTTCCCTATTTGCCACTATCAAAAGTAATAGATACTCAAAGAATTTGACTTTTTACAAGGTCACTGATCTCCTTAAAATTAGGACGTACAGAATAGTATTGAAAGAGAGCATGCTTTCCAAAGCATGAAAAGATTTGGCTGTGCATCTCTAAAACATCTTGTGAAATAAAATTTATGTCACACTGAGACTACTAATGTACACTGTACCTGTGTTATGCAGTGTGTTCTTACTCTTGCATTTAGGTACAAGAATTCTTCACTACATCACTACTAAATTACTAAGTTAGGAGAAGGAAATGCAAGAAAAGAAAATACTGTTACGTAATAGATCATCTTCATTACACAGTGATGATGTCATCAGAGCATGCATACAGAAAGCAGTTTCTTTTAAAGGAGAGGAAGGAAGCAAGAGTCTCCAGAGAAGTTATAATCAGCCGTTTCACAGAGTCAGCAGCCATGGTGAGGTTCTTTCACTAGGCACGAGTACCAGTGCAATTTGGCCTACTGTTGCTGCTTTTGCCAATTCTGCTTGGGGTATTTTCTCTTGTGAAGGTTTAGTATTCTTTTGTTTCCATTCATCTGCATTTGGTGCCTTGTTTATGATCACTGTTATGTATAACTTAGTCTCAAACTGTAGGTTTGCATAAACCGTTGGACCTGTGTGCACAAATTCTTAAGAAGACATCTTCTGTGTAATTCACTACCTCTTTTAAAGAGCTCAGTTTTATTCAGACTTCTCTAACTTCAGAAAATCACTGGAGTTACTGTGGCTTAGGCTGTTGATTTTTTTTTTTAAAAGTTCTGATTTTCAGCTGCAAAATAAGGAGAAACAGTTACACCTCTCATAGAAACTATACTTTGACAAAGGTGAGCATCATGCTGCATTGAGAAAATATGTAGATTTGGACCTGTTATGTTAGGTTGTAAAGAAAAACACAAACTAGCTAGCTGTTAGACTTCAGTCACCTGTAGAGTGACTTTGAGGGTGAGGGGAAAGGGTCACTCTGAACCATAGACTTAACTTTTCTAAATTGATTTTTCATAGGAATAAATAGTTAAGGGATCTTACAAGCTGCCACTGCCTCTAGCAGCCTTGTGGCTTGGGTATTGCTCCTGCCCAGCCCAGAAACCCTGGGCTTTCCGTCCTAGGCCCATGGCTGTAGCTGCTGATTTTCCACTTGCAGGTTCAGGCAGCAGCAAGGCTGAGTGTGCATCTCGGAAACAGGTGCACGTATGGAAGGTGCTGACATGGCCAGCTACGCAGACTGCAACAGGCAAGACACTGCCTTCAGCAGCACCTAGCTTCAGTGCTACCAAGGCTCAAAGCATAAATATGGACAGCCACCTCCCCTTTCTCCTCTTCGACTGGTAAGAGTGGAAGTTTGACAGTGAAAGTAGTCTCATCCTCGCTCTCTAGATTCACAAGCACATTCATGAATCCATTGAGTATCCAGAGAGTATGGCCCCTCTGTCTCTTCCACACTCTTGCTCAGATCTTGGGCCTGCTGGTCTGCTCTGTGGGTCTGCTACCTGCTGGTTAGTTCAGCCTGGTGATTGCTAGCAAGCAGGTAGGCTCATACGCTCATCCTACAGGCACCCTGCACTCGTGTCCGGCTGAATACCTGCAGCAGACACTCGCCCACTGCAGTTGCTGATACCAGAGGCCTGGGGTGCCTACAGCCCTGGTCTGGCTTCATCTTTATTTAGTGGGAGAAATAGCTTAGGAAGTCACGATGTTGCCCTAAGGAACTGTCTGCTTTGCCTAGATGTAAAATTTATCAATTTCCCTGATTGAAAAGCTTTACAGGTAACAGGTAAAAAACCCAGCAAGTATCTGTGAAAAGACCTGTGGCCTGTATTGTCTGCTCAGTTCCCCACAGACCTCTGGGCT